AGCAGCAGTTGGTGTAATGGCTATTTCGCTGGACTCCCACGTAGTTGACTGTGGTTCAAGTCCTGGACCCGGTGGCTTAAACTCACGCTGGGCATGTGTGCGTGCCCAAGATCCCAAGAGGAAAATGAAGGTGAAGGGGTGATTTCTCACTTTCTGTCTCTCTGTCTCTCTCTGGCTTTCTGACAAGCACACACGCCCTATAGCAAAAACCGCTACAAAACAAAACAAAACAAAACAAAACAAAAAACCAGGTGCATGTGTATGCATGGCCAAAATCCCAACAGTATGGAAAAATGGAGGGGAAGGGATTACAGCATGACCACGTCCCACTGAGGAGTACTTTCCCTCCCTCTCTCTCTTTTCCTCTCTGGAGAGCACACATATACTCTGACAATTTTTTTAAAAAGGAAAAAAAGTTTTAAAAAGAAGAAAATACAAGAATATCTTTAGGACCTTGGAAGAGGGAATGAGCATAATACATTTAGCTGCATTCAATTTCAAAATGCATGTACTTCAAGATAACATAAACAAGTTAAAAGACAAGCAATAGACTGGGAGAAGATATTTCCAATGCATATAATCAACGAAGGATAATCTCCGAGGTTCTATACTTCTAGCTGTCATGGTCTTCCTGACTTCCTCTCCCAGCATGCTCTCCAACTCACTCTACTTAGTCACACTGGCTCCTTGCTGTTCCTGGGGCTTTCTGGGTACACTCATGCCTCGAGGCCTTTGGACTAACTATTTGCTCTGTCTGTAATTTCAGGGCTTTGCTCAAATGTCACTATCTCAGTGAGGCCTTCCATATCCACTTTATTTAAAATTATGATTCAACAATCTTCCTATCCACTCCCATACACGTATGTTCCCAATCCCTCTTCCTTGCTTATTTTTCTCCCTGGGACTTATCATTATCCACTATTCTACTCACTTTACTTACCAATCTTTTTTAATCACCTACCTTCCCCCAGTAGAATGTAAGTTGTATGTGCGCAGGGATTTTTGTCTGTTTTGTTTATAGCTGCATCCTCAGTGGCTAGAAACGTTCCTGGAACAAAGTAGACGCTAGAAATTTTTTATTAAATGAATGAATTGATTATCTAGGATGTATAAGAACTTCTATAGGGCCAGCAGGTGGCGTAGTGGTTGCGGCACTGGATTTCCACATGACCAACTGCAATTCTAGTACCAGATGTGGCGATTTGCTTTCTCACTTTCCTTCTCTCTCTCTCAATGGAGAGTGCATGTGCTCTATAGCAAAGCTTTACAATAATAATGATAAATAAAATTAAATCATTCTTTTAAAAATACTTCTATAAATAAGAAAAAGAAAGCAACCTTGTAGAAAAATTGACAAAAATACATGAATAGGCAATTAATAGCCAAGAAAAACCAAAGGGCCAATGAAGATATGAAAGGATGCAAAACTTTATTGCTATTCAGAAAAATTTTAAAGTAAAATCATGAGATACGATTTCACGGTTGATTTGGCAAAACTTTCCTTTTAAGGTTCCCCCCTCCCCCATAGGGCACTTATGCTCACAGTAGAGCAACAGAGATAGTGAGAGAGAAAGTGAAAAATCACCCCCTGGGGGCAATGGCCATGCCACAGTCCCTTCTCCTCCATTCTCCTCCTATGACTTTGGCCATGCACGCACACACGCCTGGAGTGGTTTTCAAGCCGCCAGGTCCAAGTCTCAAACTGTAGTCGATCCACTGTGTTTAATCACCACTTCCCCTGCTGGTCCCAACCTGGCAAAAATTTTAAAAGTCAGACAATATCAAGTTGTTGAGGATGTAGAATATCAATAGATAGAACTGTGATCCACTGCTAGGAGTGTAGATTGGTAGAACTGTCATGAAGAGCAATTTTCACAATGTCTAATAACATTGAGTATGCGATACCCCTAAACTCAGAAATTCCATTTTTTTCTTTTCTTTTTTGTTTTTGGCAAGATTTTTCCTATAGGGCATGTGTGCTCCCCAGAGAGACAGAGAATTAGAAAATGAGAAATCACTCCCCAAGGGAGGATGGCCATGCTGCAATCACCTCGCCTCCATTCTCCTCTCGGAATTACACGTACGTGGTGTGAGTTTTAAGTTGCTGGATCCAGGACTTGAAATGAAATCAACTACATGGGAGTCCACCAATGTAACTATTATACCATCTGCTGGTCCCAGAAATTTTATTTCTTTTATTTCTTTTTTTTTTTTTGAGAGATTTTTGCTTTAGGGTGCGTATGCTCACCAGAGAGCTAGAGAGACAGAAAGCAAGAAATCACCCCCCAGGGAGGATGGCCACGTCACATTCCCTTCTCCTCCATTCTCCTCTCGGGACATTGGGCACACACGCACATGCACATGGTGTGAATTTTAAGCCACTGGATCCAGAATTCGAACCGCAGTCAACTGCCTGAGAGTCCAGCGACGTAACCATTATGCCATCTGCTGGTCTCCAGAAATTCTAAGTATAGACCCTGGCAAAATTCTAATCTTTGTGCACAAAGAGAC